AAATCTTAAATATAATTATTAAAATTAAATCGAATTAAAGTATCAAGCTCTGTTTCATCCTCAATCGAAAGTTTTGGAATAACTAATCTTGAAATTTACGTAGCTTTATAGCATATTCATTCGTAAAATTATTAATTATATTGAAGTTTTTGGCTCCTGTTTTGAAACAGGAGAACTCATATGAAGGGAAGGAATTATATTTTTAAATAATAATTATATAACCTTCATTCACTTATATCAATTAAGGGCAGAAAAAATATTCAGAAATATAACAGTTCTAGACGATTAAATTATTCTAAATTAAACAAAATATATAAATATTTCACTGGCTACTGCAGTTTAATTTTTTGGGATCATCCTGCGGGTTTGGTTCTCTTGATATCTCATCAAACCAAACCCACATGAAGATCCATAAGTTGAAAATGCAGTTGCGATAAGTATTTTTATGTTTTAAAAATATCCTTATAGTACCCAGTATTCACACGCGACTACCCATCAATTTCGTGACCAAGTTCGACGTTACTAAACTTCGTTGATCATATTGAAACTTTTGTTTCAATGTGATATGGCCTTAAAAATTATCATAGAGGAGGAGTCTGATATTTACTGTAGCGTTACAAGGAACATTTTTCACTATCTTTACCATTAGATCGTATATATTAATTTCACTTGCGTCCTTGAGTCCCAAAAGGCATTCAAGGCAAGGAGCCTCCTTCAGAGAAGACCAATCTATCACGATAGGCCTGATGATCATCAGCTCCGTGTCTATCCGAGTAACCCTACAAGAATTTAGAATTCTGCACTTCATTTAATCTACGCGTGTAGATTTTTTTATTTCTTTGACCCAGTCTAGTAAAATTTCCGTTATTGCTCGTCTTGTTTCAACTGAATCCAAGTACACACTTCCAGGCCCAGGAATTGAATTCATTGTAATTAAAAGCTGTCATAACTTGTAACCTTTTTAATCAAACTTGCTTGGATTAATACATGTCGGGTAAAAATATATACTCTCTCTCTCTCTCTCTGTCTGTCTCTCTCTCTCTCTCCATATAGACAAACATATGTATACATATATATATGTATATATGTGTGTGTGTGTGTTTGTATAAAGGTAATTGAACAGTCATTTGCCACTTTATATAGGAGTGGCCAGACAGGAGGTCTGACTAAACTTCCTGAGCTTTTTTTTCTTTGCGAATGCTTAAATACAAGAAGTTATGTCTTCCATATCAGAAGTGTTCCTCGTGAAACGTAATTCCTCGTGAGGCCGAGAAGCTGGTGCCCGAATTTAAATAAAACCACCTCATGCTAAACGCTTTCTCCTCTCCATTTCATGTAAACCTTAATGTTAATAAATAAATTATAAATATTTTACAATAAGGTTTACTTTTCAATCACTATATATATATATATATATATATATATATATATATATATATATATATATATATATATATGTGTGTGTGTGTGTGTGTGTGTGTAAAAATATATAGAAAGTAGAAAAGAACTCGTTAGGTAAATAATCCAAAGTTCTTTAGTATTTTGGTTTTTATTTTTAAAAAATATTGCTCGATACAAAAGTAGAGCATAAACATAATTATTTATTTAAAAATATGATTCCAACGCTACATAAGAGTTCTCATGTTTCAAAACAAGAGCCGAAAGCTTCAATATAATTATTTGAATTAAATTGAATTAAAGTACTAAGCTCTGTTTCATCTTCAAGCGAATGCTTTTTTAGAATAGTTATTTATTCGTACTACTATACAAAATGTGGCACAAGGCCAAAAAGGGGGTTGGGAAGGACGGTCTTCTTCGGTCTTAATTCTAAACAGACACGGACCAAACATACCAACAATAATACTATCACCAAAACAACACATTCACTCCTACCTTTCTTACTGCGTCCACGATAATACCTCGAATTCTTTATGAAATCCTAACTAGTCGCCATATATGCATTTTAAAGTCTGTGGGGGAATGGGAAATATCAACAATTTAAAAAACCAAATGATTATTTACAATATGAATTAATACTATTTACATAAAACAAAACAAAAAAGGGTTAGTAATACCCCCCCACAATCCCTAAATGTGTCAGAAACATCAGTTAACCGGACGAAATAATTGCGGTATTATAACATTATAAAAAACCAAGCACGCCCACAAACACGAACCCATTTAGACAATAACAAATAGGAAAACACACACACGAAACGAAAGTCATCCCGCAACAACTAGAGAACTGACATCACTGACCACCTAGCGAGGGAGGGGATGGGGAATTAAACAAAAGAACAAGAGGGACAGAAATAAAAAGGGCCAATGAGCATGCATACCTTAGCTAAGTTAACCTGAAACGGGAGACTAAAGATTCAAACTAAAAAAAAAACTAAACTAGCCTAATATCGGGGCGGGTTGCCTCTGTTCAACCCTGGTAGGACAAAATCCTGTAACTAACCGACATCCAAGTGCCACTCCAGGTCAGCCCCTTTCACTCTACACAGTCACGCAAGATTTACCCACCTTTTGCCGAATTCTGATGAAGAGAGTCACCGGCTTTCCGTCCTAATCTTGACTTCAAGCAGATGCCTAAAGTACAAGATCTGTTGGGAAGAGGTGAACTTCTGACCTCCATAGAATCCCTTCTGACGTGTCGTCCAAATCACGACTCTCATAACTCCTAGCAAGCACTGGAACACATAAAGTTCAGCCTTCGTCAACGGTGGTGCCACATTGCTACAAACAGAAGAGGCCTCAAGGACAAAGAACTTTCCCTGCAACATGCGAACCATGAGGCCTTCAACAAACTTACACAACGGAGCTACCAACTTGCAATGAATTTTTGAAGAAAAAATTATTACCAGCTATACATTGTTACCAGCAATACAATTTTCCAAAAAATATTACCAGAAATACCATTATTGAAAAAAATATTACCAGCAATATATTATTGCAAAAAAAAAAAAAAATACCAGCAATAAAAATTTTGTCAGCATTAAATAACCCATTGAGGTTGATGTGCCGTAAAACAAACCAAACCAAACCAAACCAATCTACTACTGGGGTAGTTGGTTCCCATGTTAGACATTTTCTCGACAGAATTTATCTCACATATTTATAAATTAACCATTCGTTCGTCCATATATTGAATATTGCTTCAACATCTGGTCTTGTGCTTCTGTCGTGCATTTAGAGATTCTTGATAAATTACGAAGAAGAATGTGCAATGTTATCGGTCATTATCTGACATGTCGGATTCAGCCATCTTCCCACTTACATAATGCAGCTTCCCCCGACTATTTACAAAAGTATCTTCATTATTATCGTTCTGCTGGAATTTTCGCTTTAGTTCCTCGACTTTATGAATGTAAGCGTAGTACTAGTTTGGTGGCAAGGTATCATTATTTTACAGTTAAAATTATTAGATGTAATCCCCAAGTTCTACGCAGATTGTGTCTTCTCTCGTACGTCTCTAGTGCGTAACTCTCTTCAGACTACTTGTGTTCTAGTCAACGTGGATCTTCAAAATTGCAAACATTTCAGTCGATTTGTTTTATTTTCTTAATACTTATTGTTCTTTCTGCTCTTTCAATAATGTTTATTTTTCTCATATTTTTCACAGTAAGTAAAACATTACATCTTAGTGGTTTCCTTTTCTTTTATTGTTGTTTCTCCTCATTCAATAATGTTTATTTTTTTTCCTCATATTTTTCAGACACAATAACACCTTACGTTTTAGTGGCTTAATTCCTTTTCTTTCATTGTTCTTTCTGCTCATTGAATAATGTTTATTTTTCTCATATTTTTCATAGTAAGTAAAAACTTACGTCTTAGTGGTTTTAAATTCTTTTCTTTTATTGTTTTTTCTGCTCATTCAATAATGTTTATTTTTTCATATTTTTCACAGTAAGTAAAACTTTACATCTTAGTGGCTTTAATACCTTTTCTTTTATTTTTCTTCCTCTTCATTGAATAATGTTTATATTTCTCATATTTTTCACAGTAAGTAAAACCTTACGTCTTAGTGGCTTTAATTCCTTTTCTCTTATTGTTCATTCTCTCGATTCAATAATGTTTATTTTTTCGTCATACTTTTCAGACACAATAACACCTTACGTCTTAGTGGCTTTAATTCCCTTTCTTTTATTGTTCATTCTGCTCAGTCAATAATGTTTTGTTTTTTCATATTCTTTCAGATCAATAACACCTTACGTTTTAGTGGCTTTACTGCTTTATTTCAGGTGAAATGCTTAAAAAGCTAGTAATAAAATTTCTCAAGTGCAATTCTTTCAACTGTATCACCGACACACCGATAAGTAATAGTTTGTGGATTTTACAGTTAACACGATGCAGAATTTGTATCTCCCTCCCCAACTCAGATTAGGTTGAGTTGTTAAGCTCATTTCTCTCTGGATGTTTAATCATCATTTCCGGTATTAAACTTTATTCAACAGAAGAGGACGACTTTTCCTTTATTGTTTAAATATGATCGTTTGCATTATAAAATCAATTGTCATTGTATTTAATGAAACACCTGTATATGTGCAGATTTTCTGGTTAATGAACGCAGGTAAACTTGATGAAAAATCACTGAGGGAATGAATGAGATACCGGAATTAGGGGAAGGCGGAGCAGAAACTAAGCCCGTATAAAAAATACGGGGAAATTTTAGTGTTCTTTATAATAAATATATATATATATATATATATATATATATATGTTATTTAACATTTTGAAATGGCTTCCTTAAAAAGTAAGCCAAGCACAAATCCTGGCAGAATTTACATCATTCCGAAAATATTGTGTGAGACGGCGTAAGGGAAAAATAATTTTATTTAAAGAGTTTTTATTTATTATAAGTATGTTTGTTTGTGCGTGTGTATGGGCGTGCTTGTCTGTGTGCGTGCCTCTCTCTCTCTCTCTGTCTGTGTGTGTGTGTGTGTGTGTGTGTGTGTGTGTGTTTACGTATCTGTGTATTCACACTGACAGTTGAAGATTCAATCATCATAATAAAGAGAAAAAAATCCCCAAAAACGATGATCGGAACAAAGAGGAGGGTGATAAGGAGGAGAAGGAAAATGAGGAGGAGAAAGAGAAGAAAAAAATGAGGAGAAGAAAAAACGAAGAGGGAGGGGGAGCAAACGAACAATTATGTAGAAAAGAGAAAGGAGGAGGACAAAAAGAATGAAGGGAAGAAGAAGGAGAAGAAGAAAAAAGGAAGATGGAGGAGGAGGAAAAGAACAATAATATAGAGAAGAGAGCGGAGGAGGAGAAAAAGAATGAGGACGAGAGAAGAAGAAAGAGAAGAAGAAAAAGAAGAAGAGATGGGAAAGGGAAAAAATAATGTGGAGAAGATGGAAGAAGAGTGCAAGTATGTGAAGTAGCTCGAGGAAAAGTAGAAGCAGAAAAGGTAGGAGAATGATGACGTGTAGTAAAGGAAGAAGAAAAAGGGGAAAAGAGGAAAAATAAGGACAAGGAAGAGGAGACGAAGAAGAAAGTTGATAGTGAGAACCAACATAATGACGTTAATCAAAATGTTGAATATCATAAAATCGAATTAACGATATCATTTATGATTATAAATAACATTATTTAATAATAATAATAATAATAATAATAGAAGAAGTAAAAGAAGAAGAAGACGAAAAAGGAAGGGGAGGAGGAGGAAAAGAACAATAATGTGAGAGAAGAGAGCGGAGGAGCAGAAAAAGAATGAGGAGGGGGAGAAGAAGAAAATGAAACAGAATAAAAAAAATATGGAAAGCTAAAGGAAAAAGCAGAAAAAAAAAGAAACACACAAATGTTGTATGTACGTACGTATGTATGTATGTGTGCATGTATTCATGTATGTATTTATTTTATGAAAGTGTATGTTTGCGTTTTTGAAATAAACTTGATTTCAGCAAATGCCCATCAGACTGAATTATATTATCTATCTATCTATCTATCTATATATATATATATATATATATATAGAGAGAGAGAGAGAGAGACAGACAGACAGACAGACAGACAGACAAAGAGAGAGAGAGAACTAATCTAGATTCTAAATTTTGCAATGTTTCCTACGATTTTAAAATTATTTAAACGAAAAAAAGTTGCTTCCAATAGATAAATGGTATTTTCTACACCATGTGCCCGTGTTTCTGTGTTTCTCGGTCATTTGCTTTGCTCACATTCTATGATGTTAAGAATTTCTATGACATAATCAAATAAATTTGACATGTTTGATTTTGGAAATTACTTTATCCAAAAATGCATGATTATTGACAACAGAAACAGGTTGGAGAAATAAGTATCGAAATTTATCTACCTGGGATCTTTTTTTTTTGTTTTGTTTTTAATAGAGGAAGATAGATATGACAGATTAAAGTGAAAGTTTATTGGAATATACAACGATGACGTCAAAAAGCTAAAGAAAATCTCCTTAAAAGCAAAATAACTGTTCTCTAATATCAGTACTCCTATATGGCAATGGATGTTTGAAATGGTATAGGTGAAACAGCAGATATGGCTCTGAAGAAGGATGATGGGGATTGCTTGGACAAAATAGGGAAATTTTTAAGGGAAATGGGAACAAAAGGACATTCGTAATTATAATCAGAAATACGGAGAAAACAAAATGAAGGGAGGTGTTTACCTTTTATAATTTGACGCTCTTGGACATACTGAAGGCAAGTTGGAGATGAGGTGCACCGAATGACCTACATAAAAAGCTTATATAATGAATGGCAGAACGAGAATAACGAAAAGACAAACATTGCTAAGAACTACGAAGTATAGGAAGTTGCTGAGAACCGTAATCGCCTATTCCCTCAATAAATATTTTATTTTCATTGAGTAAAAAGAGATTGAACATACCCCAGTGATAAGCTCTACAAAATCAAAGTGATGTTAATTTGTCCGAATTTTCACTTCGGTAAGAGAAATCCTAAACACAAATAGAGTCGAAAAGTATAGATTCATAAATAATTATTTCTATCGTTCTAGTCTCTTCGGAAAAGTTTATTCTAAATGACGATTCGAGGTTTCAGAGATTCCTTAGTTAAATATAAGTCACTTATTTAAATTCCAAACCACATTCGCTTGGGCGAAAATATTTCTTTCAGTGCATGACTGTCTAGTCAGAATATATTCCAACAGTAGATTGTTATTATTTTCTGGAGTAGACTGATTGCCAACCAAGGCTATAGGATAGAGTTTGTTCTAACATTTAACCCATAGGTATAGGAGAGGAAAGAGATGGTTTCATGCCTTTCCCAAGTGTAGTTGCGTGGAAGTGAATGTATCGAAACCGACTGGCATTGAAACTCGCCAATCTGATTTCTCATTCAGGGTCGGCATCTAATACACCACCAGCACATACTTATTTAAACATATTTTATTACATTAATACAGCATTTAAAAAAAAAATGGTTTCATTCCATCTTATCATAGCTAGACGTTCTTGACCGACTATGACTTTCTACTGGGGTGGCTAGAAACAGACAGCTAATCTTTTACCCATCTTTGTTCAACACCCACAGAGCCCCCTCCCCCTGTGTTTTAGACGGTAAATATGCTGAGTAGACATTAGTTACAGTTTCTGGGAAAAAACATATTATCTCTTTCTCTCACTCTCTCTCTCTCTCTCTATATATATATATATATATATATATATTATACACATTATGAAATGGGCAAAGTCCGACAATTATTTTAAGACATTTTTATGTTTATACATTCTTTTTATGAAAATGTCTTTATAGAATTGTTGGGCTTTGTCCATTTCATAATGTATGGCGTCATTTGTTTACATTTGAATACGCTTTGAGAAGATATGAATGTACGTGAGAGATTCATGGAAGATTGTAGTTTAACGGCAGTAAAGTTATCCTTGCTAATCGAACGATCCTCTATGGCTCAATCGGTTAAGGCACGTCATGCTATATGACGGTTCCGTTTAGGATACCGGCTCGATTCATGTCGGAGGACGAATATTTTCGATGAATATTTCTCGGACATTCAGGCCTGTAAATGTTATTAATACTGTTTATTATAAACAGAGCTCATACTTAAATATTAACGGTGGATATCTACTCGATTTCGAATATGACCATTTTCTTAATTTAAGCGTTGTTTGGCTCTTTTATGAGCTCTCAAAATGGCTTCCGATACCTAACATTCATTTTGTTACCACATAGTCAGGGGCTACACAGAGATTACATGTTACCACTGAGTGGGATATTTCTGTTGTGCAAAAAAAAAAATGGCTTTTTAGAGCTGCATATAATTTGGTATTAAATGCACGCACTGTGCAGGCTGCCTTTAGCTGCTCGGTAATTTCTGGCAATGCCATTTGTTTCATTTTCGAGAGGGTGCTTTAGATTTTTAACAATAAAAGTTCTGGAGATAAAATCACAAGTGTACATTGGGCATTTACAGGATGCCCCATAAAAAAAAAAACAAAAAAAAAAACACAGGAAATTTATACATAAAGAAATTTTACATAATGAAAAAAAAAATAGCTTGTGCACCAAATCCAACATTTGTGTTTTCGTTTTTAAACTACTAAATTTCTATGCTTTGCATTTTTGTTAGATAGCTGTACCGAATTTTCTAGTTTGTTGTTGAGCTCCCTGTAATAAATATGCAGGTTTGTATGAATTCTAAAATTGTTATGTCATTTTTTTTAAAGTGTTTAGCGATTAAAATTAATCAGTTCTGGGAGGGAAATTTCTGAGAGTTTTCGTTTTGGCAAGCCATTTATGAAAGAGATTCATTTTACTGCTGTTAGGGTTTTATCTGTGTATACGTTTTGTATTCTTTGCAAGCTTTTCAGTGTAGCGTCTAGACGTGTCAATGGCGGTTGTATCTTTTTATTTTCAAGTTTGACGTCTTCATTTGTCTTTCATTTGCAAGACAATCGAGTTGATATAACAAAATTTATGTCCAGACTTTTTCTGGAATCAAGAAAAATATGACGGGAATGTAGAAATATTAAATAAATTCTTATTAAAAACATTCGTTTGTTTTCAATCAGATCTTCATAAATTAAATGGAAAATTATTGCCCAAATAAAATCTATTTACAATACACAAAAGCCACGCTGTCAACTTTGATTAAATCCAAACGTACTGAGAAAGCAAATGAATTTTATTCGGATTTTCAACGAAAACAATGAAAATGAAAAAAAAAAATCTTAAAAAATTAACCAAATGTATATATACGAAAAATTGTTTTCTAAACGTGTATATATATATATATATATATATATATATATATATATATATATATATATATGTATTGAACTCATACCTGTTTGGGGCGTTAGTTAGATCCACTGAACGACATAAAGAGGGGAGTTAAATACCTGGTTAAGGCGGCGGAGAAGAACTTGGAGAGGGGAATTAACAGGAGATAACTGATAAGTGACATCCATTAGACTTAGTACGTGAACTAGAACAGTCTAATCCAGCGAGCGAAATAAAGTGTTCAGTTCGACATTCCACTTGAAGAAGGCCGGAGCGTACAACGGCCGAAACGTTGTGATAAATATAGCAAGAAAAATAAGGATGATAGTCCGAACAATGTAAATAGTGTATATATATATATATATATATATATATATATATATATATATATATTCACAATATATGAATATTGATTTTCTACGTAGACATTACACCATATTTTACTCGGTACGCCTTCTCGATAAAGTATCTTCTTCAATAACAGACACTAATTTTACATTAGTCAGCAGCGTGAACTTTTATCAATCTTAAAATGCATCCCACATGCTTACACATGCTCATATATCTAGAAAAATAGAGAATACTTAATATAATATATCCTAGTTGAAACAGCTGTTGTTCTACGATAACCGAAGTTAAGCAACGCAAAGCTTTGTCAGTACTGGTGGCACATAACAGGTCCTGTAAGACTGGATTTGCAAACGTTTTAATGGATAAAAGCTCGGGTTTAGAAATCGAAGTGCTGGGTTCTAAATCCTTCTGGTTTTGTTATATTCACTTACGTGTAACTACGCTTGGGGAAGATATGGATTCACCTCTTCTCTCGTTTCAGCTATGAGTTAATTAGTGGGACTTATCAGTAAGTCATTATTAGCACCCACAAAATTATGCTTATCTAAAAAAATATTCTCTGGCATTAAATAACCTGAAAAAGTTTCATAAGTCATAAAAAGAACAAATCAATGAAGAATTAAAATGCCTTAATACGACACTCATACCATAAACCTAATCGGGAAATCAAATATGAAAAAATAAATACGCAAAAAAATTGGCTTCCTCTCTGCCGAGCGTCGATGGCCTAGGGGTTAGAATCTCTGACTGATACCAAATAGGTCGGATTTCGAATGTCTAGCCACAGCGATAGGCTTTGATACAGAGAAATACTATGCCTGTGGATGACGATAGATAAAATAATTTAATTAGTCGAGCGGGGGGCGGGGTAAGGAACGAATTTGTAAACAGTCACTATTACTGCTGATAATGCAAGACTCTCCCAGAGATTGAGTCCCCTGAGTGACAGGCGTTTTCATAAAAAAATAAATACACGAAAATTCGTCTTTCTCTCCGACTGAAGCGATCGGATGTCAAGATGAGCGAAACACTCTGTGAAGGACTAATTTTTTTAAGCGTTTCACCCCAAGCAAAGCGAGAAACCAATAGGACGCAAGGGGTTACAGAAAATTTGGAGCAATGTCAGATAGGAGTGATAGAAGAAAGGATGTGGAGATGGGTAGTGCATAGATCAAGACAA